GTTTGTTTATCTTTTATCCTATCTAGAATCTATTGTAGAAAATTTTATTTGTGGAATTTCATAGCCTTCGTTTTATTTAAATCATCCTCAATTCTAATCGCTTGTAGTTCTCTCGCTCTTCTTCTTCTTTATGTGCCGTCTTCTACCGAAGGTTGGCGACCATCATACGATAGGTTTCTCTGTTTTGTGCCGCATGAATTATGTTCGCAGCTTCTGGTATTTGAAACCATTCTCTCAAGTTTCTCAGCCAGGATTTCTTCTTTCTGCCCAAACCTCTTCTACCTTCAATCTTGCCTTCCACGATAAGCTGTAGCAGACTGTACTTATCATTACGGAACACATGGCCCAGGTATGACGCTTTCCTCCTTTTAACAGTTGTTAACAATTCCACCTCTTTACCCATTCGTCTTAATACCTCTGTTTTTATATCAGCTATATCAGCTCTCGCTCTAATCTGTTTTTATATCAGCTAGTAGAATAATATTCTTAGTTTTCGCAAAAGTTTCTTGAAGACATTTTCGCACACTTTTCAAAATTCATCCATGAATATTATGAACATTAAAAAAATTAATGTTCAATAATAAAACAAAACATAAAAATAAAATTCCAACTTTTCACAGAATACGTGGAGGGAAAAGGAAGCGAAATAAACTATAATAAAGGTATACATTGCCTCTATTAAGCATTATGTCTACTTTTATAACATAAAAGCCCCTATGTTGTATAGTGGTAGAAAATCACGAGCGAAAAATGTAATTACAATAACGATGCATCAGTGCCCAACCGAGGCTTTAGAAATATGATAATTAATGTTTTTTGTGGAGGAAACAAACCGAAACAAGTTGATGACTTTAATGACCCCGGGATATGGACAAAAATGTAGCGGGACCAGCATATCCTGTGTTTAGTGTTCTGAGCATTTTTATATTTGTATAAAAAATGCAGAACTGTAGTTTTAATGTCCAAAAGCCAGTAAATAATAATAATAATGTTATTTACAAGGTGATACCAAAAAGGCGTTCTGCATTATAAAAAGAGTATGTATGTTAAAAACTATTACAACGAATCAATTTAACATGAGAGGACTCCTTCCGGTACTCATTAAAGTAAGCCGTAGATTCTAGAATTGTAACTTAGATTTAAATTAATAATTAGTCTAATTATACGGTTTATAATTATTTATATAACCATCGAAAAAGTGTTTTTATATACAAAAAAATCTCACTGTTGTGAAAACACAAAACTGATTTATTTATGACATAATATTATACCTATTACATCCCAGCTAAAACAACGTTTAGAATTATTATTTTGTAGCTGTGATCAACTGCAAAATAAACAAACTCTGACTTATATAGATTATCGCCAGAAACCACACAGGTAAGAAACAGTCCTAACAGAACTAAATTAAAAGGTGTACATAGTAGGTATGTCATCGAAGTGGATAGCAGAGTTAGAAGTGGTAGATATGGAAATAGTTCAATGCACCTTTTCCAACTGACCAGAAGGCAAACACATTGCAAAGAAAAGGAAACTCATCTTTAAAATCATCACAATAAACGGAGTAGTTGAGATGATTTTAAAAATGAGGTTAAATATGGTAAGTCCGGGAGAGATCGGTATAGACGGGCCATTCGTCATATTGAAGATCCTCTATTTATTGTGCAGTGCGGCAACGTTGATTTGTAACATTTAGTCAACGACAGACCTTGTGAACGTGGTCATTGCGACGTGTATGCATAAACAAGAGAGATTTTTTTACTTAATTATATTTTGTTGGTGAAATTTTTTCTTGGTGAATTTTCAAGTTGTGTAAGTTTTGACAAAAGGTAAGTTTTTTTTTATTAATTATGTATTCAACTGTTATATTGAGATTAAACAACTGAACCTAACCTAAAATACCATTATAAAATTTAAACTGTGTGTTCGATGGCGTGGCCCATCTCTACCGAACCTTTGGGATAGATGGGCCACAGTGTATCGGTATAGATGGGCTAACAATAACTATTGGGTTTGTATTATTCAACAATATTTTTTAATAATATGTATTATTAATTAATTTCTATATTGTTACAGGTTACAATATGCCTTCATATTATAAGCGGAAATCTACTGTTGAAAGAGGTAAATGGAGCGAAGAAGCACTACAAAATGCAGTTGCAGCTATCAGAGAAAATCGCATGGGACTAAATCGAGCTGCATTAGCTTATGGCATACCTCGAAGTAGCATACAGAGAAGAATGAAAAATAATGATCTAAGAAAACACAATCGTCTTGGACCTTCTTCAACTCTTGGGGATGAGATCGAGATGAAATTAGTGCTGCATATTAAGAAATTGCAAAAGTATGGTTTTGAACCCACTCGTGACCATGTACGAACTGTGTCGTTTGAGTTAGCAGAAAAATTTAATGTAAGTCACAAATTCAATAAAAACAACAATAAAGCTGGTTTTGACTGGTTGCAGTCTTTTTTACGTCGCCATCCAGATATATCAGTGCGAAAAGGTGAAGGAGTTTCTTTGGACATGGCAAAAGGATTAAACCACGAGGTAGTTACATAGTACTTCGATCTGCTGCTAAGTATTTTAACTAATAGTCAACTAATAAATAAGCCGGGGCATATTTTCAACGTAGACGAGACAGGTTTGCAGTTAAATAACAGGCCTGGACATGTACTCGCGTCTAAAGGATCCAAGAATATCCCTGTTATTACATCAGGAGAGAAAGGAGAAACGATTTCTGTGATAAGCTGCTGCAATGCTGAGGGCGTATTTTTACCTCCGTATTCTATTTTTAAAGGAAAAAATAGAAAAGAAGAATACGCGAATGGAATGCCACCTGGAGCAATGTTTGTAACGTCCGAAAAATCGGCCTACGTAAATGCAGATATTTTTTTACATTGGCTAAAAAATCTGTTTATTCCTCGAAAGCCTCAGGGCAAAGTTTTGCTGATATTAGATGGACATACGTCCCATACAGCAGCAGTGGAAGTATTAGAATGCGCCGAAAACAACGAAATTTTAATGTTGTGCTTACCCAGTCATACCACGCATTTTCTGCAGCCGTTGGACCGAGCTTTTTCAAATATTTAAAGGCTAATTTTTACTCGAGATGTCAAAACTATATCAGAAATAACGCAACAAGAAAAATTACACGTTATCAGTTTGGTGAGTTGTTAGGAAATACGTGGAAAATCTTAGCAACGGTGAAAAATGGAACCTCTGGATTTGTTGCCACAGGAATTGTACCGTTTGATCCTGATAAAATTCCAGACCACGCTTTTTTGTCCACAAATGAGAGCTCCTCAGCTATAGTAGAAGAACAAAGTAATACAGCAATAGATCTAAATATTTTAGATCAACCAGGTCCTTCACTTGCAGGCATTACTCTAGTCGTTGATGAAGAAACTGCAGCTAGTTCGTCTAATGTTGAAGACTCAAGTGTAACACCTGGAAAAGTATTGGACACGTTATCGCCTGTACCCAAAATTGATGATTGCCTGGCGGAAATTATTAATTCTGCAGACAAAATTCAAGAAAAGAAGATAAAGAAACAAGAATCAAAAAAGAAGACAGTTTCAAAGCAGCAAAACAAAAGGCGTCAATGTAAAAAGTATGAGTTAGATTCGTCTGATGATGATATGAATGCAGATGTGCCAGTTTTAGATGACAGCGAAGACGAATTTAATGAAAATGAGTGCATTGGTTGTGGTGAAGATTACAGCAAAACATCCAGAAAAGATGACTGGGTTCAATGTTTGATTTGCAAACACTGGTGCCATGACAACTGTACAAAATTTGAAAATGTTTATGATTCGTGTGGAAAAATTGCTAGTAAAAAGAAATAGGTTAACATCATTATTTTATGTGTTTCAAATTGGCCCAACTCTACCAATAGCAATGGCCCATCTGTACCTATGTGATGGGCCAATAAGAAGTATTTATGTTAATTTCTATAACTTTTATATTGCTTAAGTTACACGTTTTTTATTTTGCACAATAAATATATAAACTATAATAAGTATTATTTTCCAAAAATCGTATCATACACTAGTCAATTTTTCAAGTAATCTGTTTGAGAAAAAAAGTGGCCCGTCTCTCCCGGACTTACCCTATATAAAGGAGCAAAAACTCGGGATGAGACTCAAAAATCCCGAGGTGGGTGCTGAAGAGAGCATCAGTCATAGTTAGTCTAGAGATATGTAAAGAAGTCAACATGCATACGAAAAAAAGCAAATAACCGTGATGAAATTAATTAAGAGTGTAATATTTACCAAATGTTTGTTTGCTGTTATAAAACAGCCAACATTATTAGATAATTTGAAAACACGTGCTATTGCCATTGGTTGAATTCTTAGTATCCAAAATAAAATAACAAGTTATTTAAAAAGAAAATTTTCCATGAACTGGCCTATAATAGATACCTTCGGTTCAGCCGAGTTCAAATATAAATACACAATCCAGAACCGTAGGCGCCTTTGCAGTTGAAATCTCTAGGAGTGTCCAAATAGTAAAAATAACCTGTAACTATACATTGTAATACAACATAACGTTTCAGGTAGCTTGCAACATAGTTTGTAGGATGTTAAATTACTTATTATTGGTCTCGGGGCCATTTGGTATAACATTTAGAGCACAGGGGACGGCTCGCATTAATATGTTCCGTAATAATTCATAATTTTGTCAAAAATTAACAGGTTCTTGTTATTCAATAACACTACAACATAACTACTTTTTTTTATGACTGTTTTTTTTACTTTTAAACTGAATTCAAGACATAAAAAATAAGGAGAAAACGAAGGAAAATAACTGTTTGGAAAGTTAGTTGCTCTGAACAAGTTTTTGAAGGAAATCAATACATTTATTAGAAATTAGAGGAACTAAGGAGTGGAAGAAATGGAAGAAGGGGATAACCAAAGAACTGAAAGTCGCACTTTGAACTCCATATAATATAAAGAAATATCCTAAAAACAAGGAATAATAAAAAAAGTGAGTACTCACCCATGACCGTTGGGGAACCTTGTCGAACCGGGGGAGGTAGAATACGGGGAGGGAGCGTTAGTCTGCGGCGAGGCAGAGGACGGAATGGCGGCAGGTTCATAATATTCGGTGTTAAGGGTCCTGTCGTCTATCTTAAGTTCCGAGTTGTGGGCTTTGGACGCACTTTTGATGTCCATGAACGCCACCGTGCACGCCATCGTGATCTCGCCCCCCGTCTTCTCCTCAGTGCACCTGGGCAGCAACTTGACACTTTGCACGCGGCCATACCTGTAACAAAAAGAAACTTCTATCAGTATTTTCCTTTTCTTTCAAAATCTACAATATAGATCTATTTATTTCTAACCTCTTAATACAGTATGTCAAAAATATAAAATAACAAAATCTAAATAATATAATGAACTTTGCCTTATGGAACTGCGACAAATGTTCATTGTGGTAATTTATTCAAACAATTTATTATCGATCATAAGCATATTTCAGATTAGAAATATAGAGTGTGAGAATATAGAGTGGAAAGTTTAGCCTTGTAGGCATTTCCACACTGCGATGTGAAAGATCTTTTGTGTAAGTTTTGGATCAGTTTAAGCGCCTGATGAGCTTTTTTTGAATCGAACTTCCTTTCTTAGCTTCGATGCACATGCTTTTTTGGTTGAGTTTGGTTGAAGTCAAACGTGAATGTCATCTTTCTGATTTTCACGATACGCATAATTTCCAGATCTTTATTCATACGTTGAATCACGGTGTTGTTTGTAACATGAGGGATATAGGAAATTCTGAGCATGCGGCGGTAGCACCCCATTTCGAAGGCTTCTAATCGTTTGGATGTTGCCTCCGTCAAGGTTCAGACTTCGACTCCTTATAAAAGGGTAGAAAAAACATACCATCTCAAGACTCGGAATCTTTTATCAATGTTCAGGTGCATATTACATAAAATTTTCCTGAGGCGATTGAAGAAAACTCTCGTCTTTTCTATACGACATCTTAGTTCCCGTGAGTGGTCCCATTCCTTATTTAGACTGCATCTAAGATATGTAATTTTGTCGACTATTTTCAAGGGTTCATTATTAGCTGTGAATTGGTGCTGGATTGCGTACGTAATACAGTACTAGTTCGTACTTACGTTTTAATTTACGTACTTAATTTACGTCTCGAGCTCTTTGTATCAATACTTGCATGGAAAATAGGGCCTCTGGCGTTACCAATCCGCTTCTAAACCCAAACTGAACACTGTTAATGTTTTCTATATATGCGAGAGTGAATAATAGAAAAGAAGGATTTTGAGTGCATGGCTTATTAATCTTATAATTCTGCAATCAGAGCTTCTGGTGGCATTTGCCTTTTTAGGGAGAGGGATGAAGGTGGAAACTAGCAATAGGAAATTCTGCAGTTTTATAGATTTTGTTCGATAGACTCATTAGGAGTTTGAGTTGGTTGTTTTCAAATAATTTCAATATTTCAGCTTGTATGTTATCAGGTCCAGGTGCTCTGTTGGTTTTTAGTTTTTTTATTGCATATGTTACTTCACTAAGCGTTACTTCTGGCCCTGAACATCGAGAAACACTGACTTCTGTCTCTTTCTCTTCCTTGAGTAATTCTTCCATGTATTGCCTCCATCTCTCATTTGATCTTTTTATATAGGTTAAAAGTGTCATGCTTTTGTTCTAAGGATTCTATTTCTATGCATTGATCTTGTAGTCATGATTCTTTTGCTTCTTTAATCTTTTTCTTTCTGATTTTATTTCTTTGTTCTTTTCCTCATTCTTATTTCTGTGTTTTCTTCGTTCTTCCATTAGCTATAATATTTCTTCTCTCAATCACGGTTGTTTCTTTATATTGTTTTCTGGTATAAGTATATTATCTACCACTGAATTACAGATATCTTTGATTTAATTCCACATATTGGATTCCACATATTCCACACTTGGTATGGTGATGTTTTCTTGGTTAATATCTGAGATTACCACGCTGTTTATTTTGTTGTTGGTTTCCTTATTGACTTCGTCTCTTGTGGTTTTACCTTTCAACTTCTGGATGTCCCGACGTTGTTTTGCTTTTCTTTTATGGACTTTTTTCATGTGGAGTTTGAAACGTCCTAGCAAAAGATTATGGCTAGATTACTACGAACTAGATTAAGGTCTTAGACTTAAGGTGGTTCTATGGCTAGACCTTAAGTACTACAGAAATCAGGAATCAGTGAAAGCAGGAATCAACTCAGGGTCATAACAGGTTTCCTTAGTGTATACAACATGGCTTTTACACTGAGACTTAAATTGCAGCCTCTGTGGCATAAAACCTGATTCCATCAACCATGTTTCGGAAAACTGGAAACATTTTTTGAATATTACCGAGTGACTCCGAAAACGTATGGTATCTACCAACTAGACCTGTATAAGCTGGTACAGGTTTCCCGAATTCTGGAATGGAAAAGGTAAAATAAGCTAATACAATTTGAATCATAGTTTGACATTGATCAAGTAAATTGTTTTTTTTTGTCGCGAAACGCATAGTTCTATAATATAAATAATTATTTACAATAATATGGACTAGACTGTTTTAATTATTATTAAATATTTTTTCTTACTGACCCTAATTGTTTTTTATACCTTATACTACAATATTTTTCATGCGGAAGTATTGATAGTCCACGCGAGAGTTTCCCAGAGCAGTGTACTTGACCCGAAATGTATCTTATGTATGCAGTCCAAATAGCAACAACATGCAATACCACCATAGTCACATATATTGATGATACCGCCGTTTTACATTCCAATATTCCGTTTGGAGTGTAAAGTGTAATTGTAAATATAAATTGTAAATTTAGGTTAGATTTTCGCGGAATATATATTAAGTATATAAGAATAGACCATGTCCTTACAATGTGTGAATTAGTTATACAGATAGACTCTAAAAACAAAGTGCTAAATAGGTAAGTTATAAGATTAAGTTACTATAATTAGATGTAAAATTTCGTAAAAGTATGTTGTAAATAGCGTGTATACATATTTAGTAGAGAATTTTTTTGTAAAAGGAAAATAAGACATTTCTCTCTATCTCTAAACATAATTATTGTTTTTTCCAAACGAGGAAGGTGTAGTAAAGTATTTAACCCTTAATTATTACACGGAAAATCTTACAATCTATTAGATACAATTTGCATAAATGTTTAATTCGTAAATGGTGTAAACCTGAGTTTCATTTAATGCTGGCATTAGAAAGTGGCCGCTGTAAATAAACACTAAGCTGAGATTGAGAAGTTGTGGTTATTGTTTAGTACGTTACCCTTCGATATTGTAAACAAGTCAGTAAACTAATATAATGAAATAGATACAAAATTTAAATATGTAATTAGTGCGAGTCATTAGAACAACAAACCAACATCATTCATTGCATTACATTGTGGAGACCATAGACCAGGAGGGGCCGGGTTCAATCTCGGCATACACCAGAAATTTTTCAATTTCTAATTTAACTGAGTCGTCACCGTACTTCGGAGCACGTAAAGCTGATGGTCCCGGCTAAATTTTTTTTAAACCTTTTCTCTATTCGGATTGCCGAATATAGGCCTCTCCTAATTTTCGCCATTCATCTCTGTTGTTTATAAGACGTTTCCACATTGGCCCTGCACTTCTTTTGATATCGTCGCTCCATTTCATTTGCGGTCTTCCTCGTGGCTTCATATGGCCGCCAATTCCCGATTTCTTTATTCCATCGGTCATCCGTAAGACGTTCGTTATGTCCAGACCATTTCCATTTCAGTTTAGTTGCCTGTTCGACAGCATCTTTTACTTTTGTTCTATTACGAATATCTTCAATGGCTTTTTGGTATTTGAGTGAGATCCCCAGCATCGGTCGTTCCATAGCTCTCTGAGTTTTTCTGATCTTCTCCACGTTTATTTTAGTGAATGCCAAGGTTTGAGCTCTATATGTAAACACAGGTAGGATACAGGAATTAACACTTTGGTTCGCGGTCTTTGAGGTATATTTTTATTTTTAAGTCCATATCAGAGTCTTCCGAATGCTGCCCATTCCGTTTTTACACGTCTGCTTATTTCGGTAGTCTGATTTTCTTTGATTATCTTGACATTTTGACCCAGATATGTATATTCATCTACGTGTTCCATTTCTGTCCCTTCGATATTTATCATTGGTTTGTTATCTTTGTTTGACATAGGTTTAGTTTTGCTGAAATTCATTTTCAGTCCTTTTTTTAGGGATTCTGTGTGTAGCTCCTCAATCATCGTATTCAGTGCATTCCAAGTGTCGGCTATTAGTATTATATCATCTGCGTATCTAAGATGGTTCAAGTATCTTCCGTTGATATGGATTACCTTATTTTCCCAGTCTATTGATTTAATCTTCTAGGACAGCTCTAAATAATTTTGGAGATATTGTGTCTCCTTGTCTTACTCCTCGGTTGATTTTGACTGGTCTTGTTTCGATTCCATTACCCAATGTCACTATCATTTCAGCTTGTTCGTAAATATTATGTATTAGTATTCAGTACCTGTAGTCGATCCGGTTGTTGACTAATGCTTCTTCTATTGTCCACAGTTCTACGCTGTCAAAAGCTTTTTCATAATCTATAAAAGCCAGACATAATGGGAGATTGTATTCGTTAGTCTTTTCTATTAGGATTTTTAAAGTGTATAGATGGTCACAGGTGCTATACCCTTTTCTAAATCCGGCTTGTTCTACTGATTGATATCCGTCAAATTTAATTGTTAACCTGTTTGTAATAATCTTTGTAAAGGTTTTGTAAAGTTATGAAAGAAATTGGTCGATAATTTTTCAGGTCTGTGCCTTTTTGTATATTAGTATTGTTTTAGCAGTATTCCATTGTTCTGGTATGTTGCATTGAATAGACATTTATTAAATAATATTTTTAGATATGTGATGGCTTCTTCTCCGCCTTCCTTCAGCATTTCTGCTAGAATTCCATCGCTTCCAGGAGCTTTATTCCTTTTTATTTCTTTTACTGCTCTTTCTATTTTTTCGTGGCTTATTTCGGGCATCACTTCTGAGTTGACAATTGTTATCTGCCTTTTCAAGTTCTGCTTTGAGGAGTTAGGGGGATCGTTTCTGGAACGGTACAGATCGGCGTAGAACTTTTCGGCTACATAAGTGGTTGTTAACACTAAAACCTGAGCCAAAAGTTTACATGAATGGAAGATGTAGAATAAGCCGATTTGTTGCAGTACGACCAGTTATAACAAAGGGTTTCCTAATAAAAAGCTAGATTATAACCATACATTTCACAATTTTTTACA